AATGAATAATTTGTCGGTTGTGTAATGGTCCTTTTATAAAAATTATCTTTCCTTTGAGGGTAAAAAGGACATATACATGTATAGTTGATAAGTGCCTAATTTATGCTTGCATAAAACCATTAGTAACCGACTAACATTTTTATTTCAACGTCACAGTGATAAATCATTTAATAGTATGCCATGTTATCTGTGTTACAGAGACAGTATTCCACTATGACAGATAATGCGTAACACATATTTTATTCATGGAACGGGAAAAAGGAAAATAAATAGTGTAAAAATAGGTTATCAAAGAAATAAAAGCCTGCTAAGTATTTAATTTAGCTAAATTTATATATCTCAATCGTTTAAGGGCATTTTGAGTAGGACCATCATGCAGCCACACACAAGTGCACAAAAAATTCCATAGGCAAAATAGGAAACAAGACATCTAAATCACTCACCCGCACACAATCGTCTCAAATGAAGGTGGAAGAACAAATCGTGATAGCAAAGCCAGTCACTATCCCATCTCATCAGGACACAAAGATAGATAGGCATTCAATACTCTGAAGTAGGTGTGAAAATCCACAATGCTCAACATCAGAAACAAAAAACAAATTCTCAACACTAATGTCAATTCAGTGGTTCCCTATGCTTCATAGACCTGCTGAGCCTGTCACCGATTGTCATTCCAATGAACTAATGAAGAATTGAATCAACACCTAATTCAGTGGCTCAGCACTATAGATCAGATGGCTTCACAGGGAGCATGAGCGACAATAGGCTATTTCAAACAACTCACCAACCAGCAATCTATTCACCGACCAAAAATTATTCAAAACGAAATGGAGATGGACAGGAAATACGCTGAGAGAATACACAAATGAAGTCACCAGTCAGATAGGTCGTCGAGTGCAACACAAATGAGAAGCTTCTGAAGGTGACAAGGAAGAGCACATTATTAGAAGATTGCAAAATGTCGTGGAACATGTGTGAACTCATGGGAAAGAAGCGAGTGCAATCCAGGAGTGCATCCGGAGCCCAATATTCGAAGAGGCAGCCAAGAAACGAATATCAGAATAATAAAAATAGTTTCTAATTCCTCCCAATACATTATAGTATATACTCTCAAACAATGCAGACACTCTTTCATCGAGAAGACAATAGAACTCAAAAATATTAACCATACCATTCATGAAGGACTTATCAAACAGCCGAATCCCAACAGCTGCCCAGAGACAATCAAACTAAGTGGAATGTGAAATGTCGTTTCACCGCTATAACTAATCATCATTTTAGTCATGCTTGTCACACAGTAACTGAAGTATTTCATTTCAACGCTCCGCTTATCTAGCATAACTCTAATTGTATTTCGCAAATACATCAAATTTATCTCACCCACAAAACAAAATTTTCACTCCTGCATTCTCATGAACAGTGTTGAGTTGAGAATTTATCAGAACATGACAATAATTAGTACAACATTCTCAGCGTCAGAAGTGATTCGAAGATTTCTAGTGTTCAAATATTTCCACTCACGAAGACAAATATCGCGTATTGTTCTTCAATTTAGGAAACTTTTCAATTCTAAAATTGGCCGTGAAGAGGATAATATCGAAACATACCGAGAAATATCTCCATCCATAGGGTTTGAAGGCTCACACACGCAAGACACGCGATGTGCCTACATAGTGTCACAATGTCACAACAACCCTAACCAATTATTTGTATTTTCGTTTCACGAATTTGACGAACAAACACATTGCGAAATCATCTGTATATATTTGTGATCGCACAGCTGTGTAAATGAATTCACCTAGAAGGGACTCTTCACTCAACTACTGGTCTTCTCTTCACTAATGTTTGAGTGGCGATTTTTCATGAATTAGAAATGTTTACAGTTGTGATGTTTCAAATAATCGGCTACAAAATCTGATAGTTTCATTAGTGAGTAAAAGGGTGAATATTTTATTACACCATGTGAAATGAGTTGCATTTGGTATTCTCGTAGCTCATTTGGCATGGATTGTGGTGTATTAATCTGTGTGCTTTGCCGAATTGTGCGAGAGACTGCGTTTTGCTGACTATCTGACGATTAAGTAAGCTGTTTATGAACTGGTTGCCACATTCACTCAAGAGAAATATTCTCAACTTGCAAGGACACGCTAGTGATTCCATGATCATTTATGTTATCGAGTGTATCTAAATATTCTGGGTTTTCTGAAGAGATGGTGATGAAATCTTTCAAACAAGTATTTCGACTCGACAGTGAATATTTGTTCAACCGTTAGTTGATGGTCTCAAACAATTCAGGTGATACACTCACAGGAATGGCGCAATTAGTGTTGTAGACAGTCATTGAATTGGTTTCGGAAATCTTGTCTGCCTTATCTTCTTCTAGTAGGGAATCCTCAATTGACGAAGTATGGAGAAGTACAGTGGTATAAACTGGATGACTTTTCTAGTGAGTCTTATTGCTCACAACCACAAACATGTGGTCAGAGGATTTCTCAGCCTACTTTGTATGGTTACAATTTTTGTGTATACAAATTCAGAAGTGTCTGTGGGAGCAGTTACATTGGAGGAACAGAAAGAAGGTTATACCCGCGATTTTCTGAACGTGTAGCTAAAAGTCTGCGTGTAAAGGGAACAAATGCTTTCGACAGTGGCATCGCTAGGCATTTCCTTGACAAGGAACATGAGGTGGACGTCACAAAATTGTTGAAAATTATCAAAAAATAATAGAGTGCAATCCCCCTTAAGTCTGGCGAAGCAGTCTCCATCAAGCGGCTGTAACCTAATCTATGCGTTCAGGAAGATGTGGCTATCAGTGTTTGCTTTGCATGATAACTGAATGTTTTCATCCTCTCTTTCTTCTGAATATGTAACAACGAAAGATTCGATTGCATGTTATCATTATTGTTTGGGATAATTGTTGATTATTATTCTTTGCATTTTATGCATATACTGACTTGTTTTTTTTTTCCTTTAAAAGTGAACTCTTTGCAAGTGTGTTAAAATTATGTCTGTAGATATGCCTAATAATGTCTTTGGGCTGTAAACAGCTGATAAGAAGGCAAAGAAATAAATGATGATACTATGTTATTCTGCAGAGACTATTTTTGTTCCTTTATTCAAGTTCATAAAGGGGAATAAACGTATGAACAATCTTTTCTGTTTTCTTTGGGAAAATTTGTTCATATGTCGAGGAATAGTATTGGAATACAGAGTGAATAACGTCTCTCTCCAACTACAAACATTACTTTAGAAAATAATATTTTCTCAGCAAAATGACTTACAACTTGACTGATGATGGCGCATTATGATGAGCACGTCAATATTATCATTAGAAAAATCCATTTTTGTACAGCACTGGATCAGCTTTCAGTATGAGAAGTAAGGTGGCAATCAATTTGTGGTTTCAATCATACTATTCTTCAAAGAGTATGAAGTTCAGTAAAGCAGTCTACTTACACAAAGCTTGTTTGGATTTTGCGATGCCCTGGTTTTCCCAACTTTTATGCATTGCAAGGCAACAAAGGTTTGAACAAGTTTTTATTACTTTTTACTGTCGAGTCTTTCTGTAAAGTGAATATGACGGACAATACTGAGGAAATATAGACTGATACTCTACTAGAAAAGCGATATCATTTAAAACATTTAAGCTTGTATGAAAGATAGTCAAATGTAAAGGCTACAGCTTAGTATGTCCTAGAAAGGTATACTATTTGCTTGTCCGCGCTTTGTACTTGGAGATGAGATAACATGTATATGAATGGCATACGAAACTCTGATGAGTGCATGTGGCTGTGTACAGCTGCTACACATAAAAAAACTCAGTAGATATGGCTCATAAACTTGACATCAAAAGCATCCTTCAACGCCGACAAAATCTCTCATTAAAAGTCATCATTTATAATACTTAGTCCTGGTCAGCACATAAAATTGCTTTCATAAAAAATATTTGCTTAAACCTTTTAAAAACTGTGATTTCTTTACACTTTCAAAAACTCTTTTTAAGAAAATTCACACTCATCTGAGAAATTAAGGCCTCTTCTTCTAAAATGACAAATATAAACTAATCTTCAATCAAATTGGTGATAATGTACTAAGCAGAGTTATGTAGTTTTAATTTGAAATAATTATTGGTACTGTTGTGATGAGGGCTGGCTGTTAGTCAAAATTGGTGGACAGTAATTCACGTCAATGTTTATGTCCCCAATATTGGTCGTGAGAAAAATGAGGACAAATGCTTTGCGCAGGCGGATACAGTTAGCATAAAGATGATCTGACATTCAAGAAACAGCCACAAAGAGATGCAAGGTTAACTTTTAGTGAGAAACAACCAATCAGAAGACTGTGTATGTCTACTAACAATAATCTATAATAATGTACATGAAAACCTATAAATGTGTGTTGATTTCCCTAATAAACGATCTGTTGACTGGTCCTTGTCTTCTGCTGTTACACTATTACGATTAATATTAAGGCTGTTCGGATAAAGTTAGCTTTTCATCAATTTTACTCGCTCTAAGTCCTTATACGCCTGCGTTACCTCCTATGCATTCCTAGCAGGACACATAATAACTGTCATCTTTATTAATCTAACACAGCTAATTATGAATCTGAAATAAAAATTGGTTATGAGAAAAGACTTTACACCACTCAATATATGCTACTGTTTCTCAGGGAAGTTTATTGAACGTTATTAATATTTGAAGATGCAATAACATCTTAGCTTCGATGATTAAAGTCGTTAGTGTCTCCAAATTTCTCAAGCATCATTATCTGAAATAATCAACTGAACAAGTAGTTTTCTTGATACAAACTCGAATTGCACAAAGTGCTTCTTTTATCGAGATTTCTAAGATATGCTGACTTTACAGCTAAAGTTAATAGCTGTATCTAGGTGAATTTAAGCTTAGAAGATAGTAAAACTTTCAAATTAAAATCAAAAGGGACGCTACAGATATTTACTGTCATATAGAGAAATTCCATAGTAGTGAACATTGACTTACACTTAAAAATAGTTTCCATGCTGCGACCGCCAAAACTGTGAATGTTTTTGTCCTCGTTCTTATGCTTAATCGTAGGCGATTTGGTACTTTATCAGTAAACAATGCATTGTATACTGTACTGGTTGTTGACCAACCTGCGGAAACTAAAAACCAAAAGGAGACGTTTTGATAAGTTACAGAAAATCTAGTGGAATGTTATAAAAAAGACGTAGAACTCATCTGCAAACTTATTCTTTGCTTGTAATAATCTACGCATGGAATAAGCACTATAATCTTACTGCAAAACTAGCTAATTTCTTCTAATATATATAGTATGAAGTTTCTGAAAAATTTTAAGTATCTAAAAACATTTGTGTGTAGTAATCACTCCTAAATTTATACTAATATCCGAAATTCAATCCAATCGCAAAGCGTCAGATTTATTTTGAACTAACTGACTTTTGGAATCCATTTTAACTTCCATTATGGCGTTTCACTGACACCACATTCCTATATTAATTTTGCATACTACAGACAGTGAATTACTAGATGTTTCTTATCTAAGTTATCACTATAAATTTTCTAGTTTTAAGGTGATTACAACTCAACTGTGAGAAAAACAAAACCTCATCTTCGTTTGCCTCCACAACTGAATTTATCTAAACATTTCTTCAGTATAGGACTGCATAAAAGTTGTTTTTCCTTCACGTTCCCCAGTGGAAAATAGGGCTCCAAGCTGGAGGCTTGAAGTTTCGGTAGTAGTGTTGCTTAATTTAACTGGATGGGGTTGCTAGCCTCATGCCAAACCTTTCTCCTTTACCAGTCTCACTACTGGCTTAGCGAAGTAAAGGAGTGCATCGGCCGGGGATCGAACCACAGACCATGTGCATGGTTAGTCAGCGTCCTAACCGCTGTGCCACCGACGCACACTACATGAAAGTTAGTGCATGGTAATTGAAGATGAAATAAAAATGCAGGTGTCTACAGGATTCTAGCAACCTTACTTTCAGTCATCAACAAATACATCAGTAACAAACAGACTACAACTAGAATCCACCTCTTAGAGTCTCATAACCAATCTCAGTAGGAATTTAATTCGTCAGCTGTAGTATCTCATCTATACAATTAAACTGAGAGCTGATAATCCTGCATAGAAGACCCACATTGTTTCGAAATATAATTCATTATATTTGATTCTGGGAAGGGTGGGAATAGGGCTTCATGTCTGCTGATATCTAAAATACAAAGAAATTCATTCAGATAGTTCAGAAGCCGTCACAAGACGTCTCTGTTATTTCAACAGAATCGGTTAGCGTAGATCTTGGGAAAAGCCCATAAACAATTTACTTAAGCGTCAGAAAGCCACTATACCACTGCTCCCGCAGATACTTGTGTATTTCTATACACAAAAATTGTAACCATACAAAGTAGGCTGAGAAATCCTCTGACCACATGTTTGTGGTTGTGAGCAATAAGACTCACTAGAAAAGTCATCCAGTTTATACCACTGTACTTCTCCATACTTCGTCAATTGAGGATTCCCTACTAGAAGAAGATAAGGCAGACAAGATTTCCGAAACCAATTCAATGACTGTCTACAACACTAATTGCGCCATTCCTGTGAGTGTATCACCTGAATTGTTTGAGACCATCAACTAACGGTTGAACAAATATTCACTGTCGAGTCGAAATACTTGTTTGAAAGATTTCATCACCATCTCTTCAGAAAACCCAGAATATTTAGATACACTCGATAACATAAATGATCATGGAATCACTAGCGTGTCCTTGCAAGTTGAGAATATTTCTCTTGAGTGAATGTGGCAACCAGTTCATAAACAGCTTACTTAATCGTCAGATAGTCAGCAAAACGCAGTCTCTCGCACAATTCGGCAAAGCACACAGATTAATACACCACAATCCATGCCAAATGAGCTACGAGAATACCAAATGCAACTCATTTCACATGGTGTAATAAAATATTCACCCTTTTACTCACTAATGAAACTATCAGATTTTGTAGCCGATTATTTGAAACATCACAACTGTAAACATTTCTAATTCATGAAAAATCGCCACTCAAACATTAGTGAAGAGAAGACCAGTAGTTGAGTGAAGAGTCCCTTCTAGGTGAATTCATTTACACAGCTGTGCGATCACAAATATATACAGGTGATTTCACAATGTGTTTGTTCGTCAAATTCGTGAAACGAAAATACAAATAATTGGTTAGGGTTGTTGTGACATTGTGACACTATGTAGGCACATCGCGTGTCTTGCGTGTGTGAGCCTTCAAACCCTATGGATGGAGATATTTCTCGGTATGTTTCGATATTATCCTCTTCACGGCCAATTTTAGAATTGAAAAGTTTCCTAAATTGAAGAACAATACGCGATATTTGTCTTCGTGAGTGGAAATATTTGAACACTAGAAATCTTCGAATCACTTCTGACGCTGAGAATGTTGTACTAATTATTGTCATGTTCTGGTAAATTCTCAACTCAACACTGTTCATGAGAATGCAGGAGTGAAAATTTTGTTTTGTGGGTGAGATAAATTTGATGTATTTGCGAAATACAATTAGAGTTATGCTAGATAAGCGGAGCGTTGAAATGAAATACTTCAGTTACTGTGTGACAAGCATGACTAAAATGATGATTAGTTATAGCGGTGAAACGACATTTCACATTCCACTTAGTTTGATTGTCTCTGGGCAGCTGTTGGGATTCGGCTGTTTGATAAGTCCTTCATGAATGGTATGGTTAATATTTTTGAGTTCTATTGTATTCTTGACGAAAGAGTGTCTGCATTGTCTGACAGTATACACGATGTTGTTTTGACACCTATTTCTGATTATTGAATGCCTATCTAGCTCTTGTGTGCTTATCGGATTCGGCGGAGACTGGCTATGATATCATCATAAGTTGTAATTTTCCTTTTTTGAAGTGGTTTGAATCTTGCTGTCATGACTTTGGAGGAGATTGGTTCTCACTTCATTAGGGTGTTCAGTGGGGTTGTTTACATAATTGCAATCACAACCTCATTATGTTCTAGATTTCGGTCCAGAAGACTGGAATAAATTATACCCTGTCTAATTAGCAGTTTGCAGACTCCACTTCTATTTAACTTGCTCTGAGAGATCTTAGCATTTTACAAACATGTCTTTTTGCTTGTTCTGCAATATGAGCAGCCTTACCAATCAGCCTCACATATGATGCTGATATTCTATGGCCCTCCGCTTACCTTTGGTTTCAATGATAGAAGATACATAGGTCAACTGGTTTCCCTAAGTCTCTTATCCTCTGGCATCGTCTTTCCTCGAATTAATGAGTCCTTATGATTCCAACAGACAATGTTTATTTTTTGTGTGTTTCACCGTTTCCGTATCTATGAGATTGATTTTTAGGGAGTAGAGTTGATAGCACAAGAGGCAACCCTCCCTCTTTTTTCAGTCTTATGACTATCAAGTAAACCACGTAAATATTACACTCTACAGTTTGTTAGTGATTGGATGAAATTATTAGGCAGAAAGAATTAGAGCAATTAGACAACAGTCCCAAACTAGGACGAAACACCTGTTCATTACTCTCAGGTTTTCCAATGGTTCTCTGACTGATGTCAGCTAGTGATGAAATCCTGTAACCAATTAGACAATTATTAATTAGCTTTTTAGAAACGATTAAGTTCATTATTTTTAAAGTGCAGCACGTGCATAGGCTTCGATCACGCTCTAGTCCACACACGTATATGCTCATGTCGAAACGGACATAAAAAATTATTGGCAGCGAAGAAGTTACATCCCCAACTAGATTGAGACATTAAGTCCCTATTTAAGGACCGTGAACAACGTTTGGCGACAAAAGCTTAAGAGATGGAAAAGGTATTGACGACTGATAACATGAGACAACTATTTAGGCTTATCAGGGAAACAGGTGGTAAAAGATAAATGACAAGTGAAACAATCTCTGAGAAAAAAGACATCATAATTATTTTTCAGGGTAGACGACTATAACGTCGGAAAGAACACTTTGAGGAGCAGTATAATTGGCCTACAGACACGTTGAACCTATTGAACATCCAAAACCTCCCTGAATGGGATAAAGACACGATCTCTGCGTCCCTAACTAAGTTTACTATATTCGTTACTAGTCTGAAGCGCGGGAAAGCTGTGTTATCTGATGGAATGACTCCAGAGGTGCTTAAGTATGGCGGAGACAGTTTACAGTCTGCGTTAGCTAAATTATTAGGCAGTGTCTGGGAATCAGAGTAAGTCCCGTCGGGCTGGAATGAGTCTTTGAGTATCCCAATATACAAGAAAGGAGAAAAGTCTTCCTGTGATAACCACAGAGAGATTAGCTTGACCAATATGGTATCTAAGGTTCTAGGCTCAATAATGGATAGACTAAGCGGTGCTCGTAAGGAACAAAACCGACAGAACTAGGCAAGCTGTAGACCTGGAAGAGGGTGTATTGGTCGCATCTTTACCCTTCCACACATTCTAAAGCATAGTAATACCGGCGTCCAACAATCATCATATTTCTTGACCTGGATTCGGCATTCGATTCTGTCGACCGAGAAGTACTCTGGAGATGCTTGGCTGTAATAAGAATGCCAAGAAAATACAGTGCACCAGTCAAGGCACTCAACTCGAAGTCATGCAGCCAGGTGAGGGCTTACTGCGAGTTGTAATCTGAAGTGGTGACAACTAGAGGCGTCCGAAAGGGGTGGCTACTATGCCATTTCTGTTTCATTTAATCGTAGATGTACTGATGAACTTAACCCTAACTGATGACTTCAGTGACTTTAGGATTCACCTGTAACCAGGGAATAATAATCTTGTTGGCTTAGAATATGCAGATGATATAGATCGTCGAAGTGAAGACGCTGACAAAATACCGAGTCTTTTGAACACCTTGAGCAGCAATCTTTGAATGTTATGCATGCGATTCGCTCCCGCCAAATGCAAGATGATGCTACAGGACTGGACTACGTCGACTACTCCTAGCCTAGAAATAGGCAGTGAAGTGGTAGAGCACGTTGACCACTTGACTTATTTGGGAAGTTGCATCAGCCAGTGCCAACGGGTCGATCGCTGACGTAATTTCAGAACGGATACAGAGAAGGCTCGTTTGACATATGCTCGCTAACTTACTCCATCTCTGGAGTAGACGTGATATCCATCTGCCTATTGACCAAAAGGCATGTATACTGCCCAGCAGTCCGCTTCATCATCCTTTATCGCTGTGAGTAAGACATGTCCATTGAAAGTGGAAGAAATTAGAAGCCTGACTAGCTGTATTTTATCATAAGTGTCTGCCTTCCATCTCCCGTGTTACGTCGGGTGGTAAAATAGAGCAATATTGAGGTTAGACATCAGTCAAGTGCTAGGTAAGGAGAGGAAATCAATAGACGAGGCTAAAATTTGCATCGATTGAAATGGTTAGGACATGTGTTATGTATGCCTGGCTATCGACCACCTTCCTCGACGGGTAATGTTAGCTGACACAGGGTCAGCTAGTGGTGGTCAAACGAAAACACGGCCTCGTCAGTCAATGAAATCTACAACAGTTAGTTTAAGCTAGTCACATAGTTAGGTGTAGAGCTCCTGGTTGAGGTCCTCCGGACAGTAAATACCAATGAAGGCTGGGGACAATTGGTGATATGGCTCAAAATCGTTCTCAATGGCTGGCGAAGATGCATCCACTCCTTGTGACTTATAATACGCAATAAAACTATGCGGTTCTTTGATATTACTATTATTTTTTCCTCATATCTCTGTTTACTACCTCTCATTTGCATTTCCTTTCATTTTCTTCTCTTGCTTTGTGTGCTAAGTAAAGTGTGGCGACTCAAACTGCTGCATATAGATCCAGAGTTCAATGTTGAAACTAGTCTGTCAGTTCTAACCACCTATTCAGTTAAAACGATTCAATTCACTAAAAGCGGTGTCAACGCTAAATGGCGGCATGTATTTTTTTACTGATAAACATGACAGGTGTTTTTATGGCATACATAGATAGGCTGTGTGATTTCTGATAATTAGGGTTTTTCTACTAAACAGCATCTAATACAACTATATTCTCGGTTTATGTTTCCTCACTTCTAGTGTATACCAATAGAAATAACCAGTTAAGCCAATAAAGTGATTTCTAATAGATGATAAAATATTTCTGACCGACAATTAAAAGAAAATTAAAACGGAATGAAATGTGATGAAAATTAAACCCAATATACCCTTGAGGTAAATAGTAATTATTTTTTTTCTATAAATACATGATACTGTGTCGCCTTCTCGTCACTTATTTAGTTCACCTCAGTCTAGAAAAGGTTAATATCATCATTCCACATGACGTTTCTTTGGTAATGATGTTAATAACAAATTTTCTTATTGTCTTCATGACGAGTTTACAACACATTCCATTTTAAATTCATTTTGCTATACGAAACAGTATATTGCAGATCGATTTTATCAAGAAATAGGATTCAGTCTCGCAAAAATATTGGTTACTACACTCCATTTTCTGCTGTTTCTGTTTCGCCAAGCATGCTGTGCTACTTCAGTGGTACTAGTTGCGGATGTTATCAGAAGTGAATGAAATAGAAAGGTATGGTGAGATTCCGTTCTGATTCGAATTCGTTTTCTTTGATAAAAATATCAAGCCAGGAATTCGGAGAAACGGAACTTCACTTGCGTCGAGAAAGAAATTCTACATGAACTTGGATGTCAAAAGAGATTTAAGAAGCAATATTCTCAGGCAAAAGATCGTATCATCTCTGAGAAGAAAACTCTTTGCAGCAAAGCTAAGAATAGTGTTCTTTAGTCCCCACTGATTGGCAGAAGCCTTAATACAAGGTCCCGCAATTGAACATTATTATGTGTATATTTCAGTTGACCTGCTACTGCGGAGCTAGGAACATCGGTAGTTCGACGCGCATCCTCTCCAAGAGGATTCAAGGATACTATCTAGCATGTCTGCGAAAAAGCAATAGTGTTACAATAAGTAGTACAATAACTGAACACCTAGTTAACACTGATTGTTCCAACTCAAAAAACGCCTCCTTCAAAGTAACCTACAATAGTCAAGAATAACCTACCAAAGCAAATATGGTTTCATACAAAATTAAGTGTTTCTTCGTTACGTAGATGAAAACATCCAGTTACCATGGCAAGCAAACACTGATATCCACTTCTTTTCGAACGTATAAACCGAGGTTCAGGCGCTTGATGGAGATCGCTTCGCCAGACTTAAGGAGAATTGAACTCTCATAGCTACTGGTAATTTTGAACGATCATGTGATATCCAACTCATCACCCGTGTCAAGTAGGTGGCTGGTGATGCAACTGTCGAAAGCATTTATCCCCTTTACACATAGACATTTCGTTTCACGTTCAGAAAATCGGAGGCATACTCTCCTTTCTGTTCTTCCAATGTTACTACTCCCACAGATACTACTAAATTTGTAAACGCAAATATTGCAGCCACATAAAGTAGGCTGCGAAATCGTCTGAACACATTTATATGATTATGAGAGATAAGATTCACTACAGTAGTCATCCAGTCAATATCACTGTACTTCTCCATAATTTGCCTATTAGGGATCCCCTATTGGAGGGAGATAAGACAGATAAGATTTCCGAAACCAATTCAAAATCTGTCTGCAACACTACTTTCGCCATTCCTGTGAGTGTGCCACCTGAATTGTTTGAGACCATCAACTAACAGTAAAACAAATATACACTGTTGAATCATAATACTTATTTCAGAGATTTCGTCGCCATTTCCTCCGGAATTTCAGAATATTCATATACACTTGATAATATAAATGATCATGGAATCACCAACGTGTACCTGAAAGTTCGGAATATTGCACTTGAGTGAATGTAGCAACCAGTTCATAAACAATTTATATAATCGTCAGAAAGTCAATACGCCACAGTCTCTCGCACGATTTAGCAAGTCAAGTAGATTGTTACAACGAAATCAATGCCAAAAGAGCTATGAGAATACCGAATGCAACTCATTCAACATGGTGTAACAAAAAATTCATCATCAGCTGACATTAGTCAGAGAACCATTGAAAAACCTGGGAGTACTGGACAGCTGTTTCGTCCTAGTTTGGGACTCCTCAGCAGTATGCACCCACCGGGATTGGAACCCAGGACCTTCTGGTTACAAGGCGAGGTCGTATACAATTAAGCCACTGGGACTTGATCCATTGGCCAGTCCATGAATTCTAACTTCTGACAATTCACGACATTATTATTTTTATTTTCCAATTATTTATATTGGGAAATATTAGGCAATTACGAAAAAAAGTGTAGGTTAAGTTATCACTGTGTACTGAAAAATTCTGATCTCTACAATACAACTTACCGGTTTCGCATGGCCATCTATGAGGTTTCAGTGCTGCAGTTATGTTGGGCCTATATCCAACTTCACATTGACAGGTTAGTATATCGGTTGAACTTATAGCGTTTCGACATTTTCCATAGGTTCCACATAACTTTACATTGCCTCGTAAACAACCCTTCTGTGACTCTGGACAACCTCTCCGAGATACTTGTGATAGGAGTACAGGGTGAAAATCAACTAACTAAAAGATAAGAAATGCATAGCTTAAATGAGTTATACCTATTTGGTGAATTTACGATTTATATTTCAGAAACAAACTTTCATTCATTTAATACTTTTAACATTATTTCCATAAGACAGAATGTTTTACACAACTATTATATTTGACTCGGTGGTAAACACAACAGTAAATAAGTATCTCAAATTGCAAAATCTTTTTTATTTAAAAGTCATTAAAGTACCAGAAAGTTTTTTGAAATATTATCAACTTTTTCTAATTTTTGACAAAGGTGATAGCTGATGGAAGTTTTAAATCATAATTCATCCAGTTTCGACTAATCCTATGGGAAATATGTTCATTTTGTAAGATAATAATCCCATGTTCATTTTTTTAGGGTGCTTATCGATGCTAAATAGTCTGAAACTGGGAAGAGACAGCTACCATATGCTTCAACAGTCCTACAACCAGCGTTAGTTTGTAACGGAATCTGGTTTGATACATAACCGGTTTAAAGAATAAATTTAAGCTCCACAATCTGCATTATGTGCTTTTGTAAATCACTGGTAAATTCTAAACCATGAGACTGCTTTTGTATTTGTGCTACATCATTTCACAGTTAAATGGGTATTCACTTTTTAAGAGTTTGACCACGGATTGATATCAGTTAGAGAACCACTTAAAACCAGCGCTGGAGTACTGGACAGCTGCTTCGGCAATCATCGCCAGTACGCATCTACTGATGTTCGAAACCAGGACCTTCCACAAGTTACAAGGCAAGTTCTTATACCATTCAGCCACTAGGATCCGATCCATTTGGCCCATGGATTCTAACCTCTATCAGTTAGTTACCTAGCGTGACCACCAATCAATGTCATCTGCGGGACATCCATCCGTATACTTGACTGGATGAACCTCACCGGTCACAACTTCTCACTAGAACTCCGGGAAACTCCATCCTGTAGCAAGTCACTAGCATTCATCAGATTATTTCCAAGACACCTGATAAACTGTAACATGAAATCTGACTGTTGTATTGAAAATTTAACAGTTTCTATATCCATCTATAGTCTAATCCTCCTTTAATTATAGACATTAGCATGGAGTTTAGTAATGTCTAGACATACTAACTTATTTCATGTTAGTGTTAAATAAAGTGATTCATCAGACAAGGCGAACTGTCGTCTGGCAGCTGAAACTGACAAAAATATAAGCACAATTAAAACAGGAATATTTATAATATTATTCATCAAGAAAAATCGTTTTGATTTTAAGGCCAGCTACATTTCTTTTGAGTATTGTCAATGGAAATGCTTACTTTGTCAAAGGAGTATAATCCCCTTAAAAGCAGAATATGCCTTCAACAAAATATCATCAATCAGACACTTGAAGAAGAAAGCAAAGTTAACAAATTTCAGTAAAACTCCATTAATTTCAAAAATACTTCAACTATCTAGACAAAAATTAATGTAGACATACCTCTTTATTGATAAAAACATTGTCAAAGCATCCTCTAAATCGTTCTGTGGATGGACCAGATTCATCACCTAGTAAGACATAGCCTCCCAACATTATGGAATTAACTGGCAAAGTAAGTGTATCATTCACTGAACAAGGTCCTAATTCGGAATATTTGCATCGGTCTATTAGCATTATTAAACTCCATTGTCCGTTAACCTACAAAATATAATTGTGGAATTTTATTAGTAACCTTCTTTTCTACTACTTATTTGCACAAAAGTGAGAAAAACTAAGCTAGACAGCGAATCCAAGACAAACTTTGTTTATTTGGTGAAAAGATTAAAACTCAAGTCAGAAATTAGTTTACTACAAAAAGAACGTTAACGGTATAGCTAAATTTTAGTTTAAGGGATGAAGATATCAGTAATAAGGATAAGTAGTGAAACGCTGAATTCCAACTGACCCTGAAAATTTCACCCATCATACAACAAGCACTTTCTATGTTTATATGATATCTGTAGCAAATGAGGACAACGAGAGGTTCCCTAATGTCCTTAAGGTTTCACATCTGAAGTAACGTTTGTCACTGGGATCAAACTCTCAATTTCCATTTAGCGCAGGTAGAGGAGGTGTAATTTTACAATATAACAATAATTGCTTCTCCTTGTTCATTTTTTCGATTTAAATGCGAATTTTATTCCCTACACTAGTGAGTCAAGAAGCCAGAGATATTTTCTGTATTCAACACTGTGAAAGTGTCATCCACATATCTCCACCATATTTTTGGAGTAGGATTAATCCCTTCTACAAGAGAATTACGCTCGAGGAGGTGTAGTTTCAATACACTTTCCTTTAGAAACCGAAATGATTCGCATTACAATTTGTGATCCGCTTGATACCGTAAATAGTAACCAGGCGGTACTGGTTGGTGTGAGTGGTGTACAGCTTCTCATCTCAGTCAGCCAATAGTAATGAGTTTTACGCCTATGTTAGTTGAAGGCGGTTAAACTCTGGACCTGGAGGGCATACGCCATAATGACAAGCATATCGGACAAACTTTTATCAACCATTTGGAGAAATGAATATGTTTGGACTGTGTACTTCAATTGTTTGTTTGTTATTAATGCAAAAATTTAAGTCAGCTGACCTAATTAAAAAAATAAAATGCGCATGATATATGGCAAAAGTACTAGATTGAGGACATGTCAACAAGTCGAGTGGTTAATGTCACTGCGAAAGCAAAGCGTCCAACTACTCGTAGATAGCTATAATCTTAAGGATATGATGAAGCACTTGTGTTAATTGTTCACCAGTATCATTTTCATACTCACAATACACACTTTATTTACTTTTTATTTTGCGGCAGCTTGCCTACTGCTTTCAAACACTTTGTTTCGTAATTCATACTACTTAATTACAAATGAGTAGTATAGTTCAATTTATTCATTTTTGTGTAGTGATTCTTTTTATTGAGTATAGTCTATTTCCTACAGCTTCAAACTTCTGTAAATTACTTCATCCCATCATTAGCGTAAAAATTCTATCCTTTAGGCTGCTGAGGTTCATCCTGATACTTCTTTATACGCTTATTACCTTTTATGAATTTGAATTTATACATTTTTTTAGAGTACTGCACAATGTTCTGATGAAATACTTTGGCAAACAAATTGGTTAACAAACTTATAATCCTTCATCGTCTGCGGTGTCTGTGGTTTGTTTGGTACGATCTTACTCACTCCTTAACCCAACGTAATAAGGTGTACGTTGAGATTTCAAGCAAAAAAAGAGTCTTCAGGCCGTAAACTGTTATTAAACCACGGAATTAATGGCTGTCTGTCTAAAACAAGCATAGAAGTATAGTTTTCAAGCGTTGGTTTGTAGGGATTTGGTTGATTGGTTACATGATTTCATCATGAGCTGACATTAGTTAGAGAACCACTGGAGAACCTGAGAGTAAGGGACAGCTTTTTCGTCCTAGTTTGGGACTCTTCATCAGTACGCACCCATCGGGGATCAAACCCAGGACCAGGCTAGGGGTCGCCCTTTGTCGTGAATTGGCAGAAGTTAGAATTCATAGGCCATTGGATCGGTCCCAGTGGCTTAATGGCATATGAGCTCGCCTTGTAACCAGAAGGTCCCGGGTTCCAATCCCGGTGGGTGCGTACTGGTGAAGGGGCCCAAACTAGGACGAAACAGCTGTCCAGTATTCCCAGGTTTTCCAATGGTTCTGTAACTAATTTCAGCTCATTATGAAATCCAGAAGTATAGTTTGTCTGTCAAAGTTACACATGACATATGGAATCGGTGGGTGGTGGAAACGCATAAATACTTAAAATCACTCCAGTGACATAGAACTGTATACTTCTGATTCGCTGAGATGAGTTTTTCTATGCGACTTACATCAACTAGTAGTGCCTCCTTACCAGATAGAAATGATCTAAATGCCGGACGGCATTTCCGCTCGTTTGCAGCGAGGCTTATCAGCGAAGTGCTCCATTCGAGTAAGCTCAAAAACACGAATTAGTTCAAACCACTTGGTTTGCGGCTAGCTACTTGGGTGAACTGGTAATCTCAATTTCCAAATTAATGTGCAGTCTATACAGTTGGTGCTAAAAACTAGCGAAATGGAGTCTGGCATTTAGATCTGGCTACTAAGCACTACTGGTTGATGTACACGGTATACAAATAGTCCTCTCAGTCAATCAGTAGTATGTAGTTTTATGCAATTATGTTTGCTTTTTTGATTACCATTTATGTGAACGAGTAGATGTATTTGTATCTCATATGATGGCGTTCCCACTGAAATTCGAATGCCAAACGGTCATAAATCGATGTATATCTTGAATTCCACCGCCAGTCACCATCAACCGTAATAATATCACGTGTAACCTTCAGACATCGTCGAAGCTTTCGTAGTGTGAGTCGACAGGTCAACAGGAAATGCAAATTAACTAAAAGAATAATTTAAATTCTGCCTTCTTCGATGAATGCAATATTCTGGTACAGCGACTGATCCCAGTTGATAAGAGTATTCATTAACCTAATAGCCTATTTCAATTAACTAAATAAATGAAATTTTTAGACATGAAAATATCTAATCATGATCACAGATTGCTGGCATATATATAACTGTGATTGCATAAAAACGTATTATCAGAAACAAAATTTGAACGAATTTCATTACAACCATCCAAATAATTACCTGAGTATCTAAAAATACATCCACATAATGCCAAGCATTGTCATTCAGTGCCACAGCACCTGAGGGTGAACGAAGCGTTTTTGAATTGGATAAATATACAAAATTAACACCGAGTCTGCCGAATTCAAGAAATACCCTGAGATGAATAAGTTGACCACTTAAAAAGTAAGTAGAATTCTGAAAATAAAAGTATTGTATTAATAGGTACTATTAGTTCTCTGCATCATGCAATGAATAAATTTGACTTTATAAGAGGCCTAAATTCAATCAATTTAAGACTGTAAGTGTACAGAATTACCTATTAGAGTTCATCCTCAGATCTAAAATCTCTACCTTTTCCCAACGACTACTTTAATTGAAAGCTTGGAAATGGAAACCACAAAATGTAAAGGAATTCATTTCATTAGTTGTAAAATTTAATTAAGGCTGACGCGGTAAAATGTATCCAAACCAAATGTTTCTAATAGATCTTTGCTGTTTACATAGAACAGCAATGTTTTCTTCCCAAATTATATATTATAATTTAAATCGTTTCTCTCACACGTGGCAACAGTTGTTCAAGCGCATCCCGGAAACTGTTTTATTTCAGCTTGATTTAGTTTGTGCATTAGAATGATAATGAACTCAATTGAAAAATCATAGATATCTAATGTTGAAGGAGCCATTCAATGAAACATAATTAAAAGACGCATTTTGCAGCAAGGGATAACCGTCGAACAAGCTTAATCCCCTTAATGATCTTTAGATGCTTTTACTTATGCTGTCTGATTTCATGTTTGAACGGAGTCCATCTTGGACTAATTGACAACAGTGATTGTCACTTACATCCCTTTATCAGTGCCAAAATCAAGCTCATAATGAACCAAGATGGTTCGCTTCCAGATAAATCATAAAAGCAGTAAATCGGTAAAGCATGGACGCTACTACTGCACTACCTACTATGACTATAATCACAAGGCAGTTTGTGCATTTGTATTTTCAACTAAATACTTGCAGGAAATAGACTAGTTGGAAGCTATTACCTATCAGATTGAAATAATCATATGGTTGCTATTTAGGAGACGCTTCATTCAAGCTTCATCGAAATGGAAAAACAAATACTCTCCCAGAAGAAACCTGACAACACTTCAAATCTTTTGTAGAAAAAGAGGCAAAGAAAACAGATAATCCTCGATCTTATGCTTACAAAACCTAACAGACTTCTCAAGAAACTTGACAACTTCCTCAGTCTAGCTGGATAAATGTCTAAACCATACTGAATTATGCACTTCCACAACTTCAGACAGGATTAGGCTTGAAAAGAGTTAGAAGTAGTAAGAGCGAGACATTAAACTGACCTTTGACTATTGGTGTGAGCTGTGTTTGCAGGTGTTAGCTGACCAGTTGACAGAGTCAGAATGTTTCCAATTCCATGACTGGAGACCCTTATTATTATGCAAAATCCTAAAAATCATCAGCCGCTTAGTTATTCTTTGTCTCACACACCTTTGTTCACTTTAGTGTCATTGCACCTTGTTTTAATTCTCTTGTGTCCTTCTTTTAAGTCTTATAATCGCTTCAAACAGTGTGCATTCATTTATTTAATCAGTATTTACAACTAATAGTATTTCTACAGTACGCATTTTTAACAAAAATGTCTAAATATACATTTATCTATCAAATCACTTTGAATTGTTGACCATATCTGTGACTATTTGGTTGACAGTAAAACGCTTCTAGTAGAATACCACCGATTTCACCATTTGCATTGATAAACATTCATTCATGCAATAGCTATCATGACTGTGAAATGTGTAACTACGATACATCAACTTAACCTCCTCATACAACAGCTTGCTTTTCCAAGTTTGAAGCTACTCAGATAAATGTAAACTAAACAGCTTCAAATCTACCTCCACTTTATGGTCGATGTCACTTGAATACTTGAATAATGTAAATATCTCACAAGTGTCAGTACAAAAACACAAAAACGACTAAAATTGCTTTTAGATATTTAAAGAAACAGAGCCTTGTTTTTATTTACTGCTAGAGTATTCTTGAGGAATTTGTTTACATTCGTTCCTAACTATGCGTGCTTATTATTATATAAACACATTGGTAAGTATTTATAATAACTTTTAACATTTTTGACATATGTCACAAAGTCAGTGAGGAAGTGTATAAAGCATAGTTGTTTTTGGTTGTGTTTTTTTTTGACGAATCTAACAATGAGATGAATGCTACCTGTTTAATGATCCAACAAATAAGTAATAACGTAATGATGATAAAACTATTTGTCTTATTTGTAACACAGTAGATTAAATATAAACATTGTAACAGATAAAGCTAAACTGTTACCTATTCAGTGGGGTATTTACTAATTATTGAAAGTGAATTGTTAATATGCAGAGCAAAGACTGCAAAGATCTCCATATATATATATATATATATATATATATATATATATATATATATGTGCTTTACGCATAGCGCTTTTTGTTCCACTGCTCTGTGCAGTGGAAAACTCTGTAGCATAAGCATGAGTTGATTAAACAACTGAAGAATTCAGAAACTTTGAGATATTGGATTGCAGGTAATGTAACTTTATGTTAACTATACTTGTTCTCAACGATTTGATAGATAGAGACGCGATTTACTCTAAAGAAATCGAACAAATGTGCAGCTTGAATTATAAAAGTTTATTCGCATTTCAACTAAGAATAACGACATTTTAGTTACTGTGCGTCAGTGGCACAGTAGTAGAATGCTCGCCAAGCACACATGTGGCCCGGGGTTCGATTCCTGGCCGACTCACTCCTTTACCTCTCTAAGCCAGAAATAATGCTGGTAAAGAGGAAAGGGTGGATATGAGTCTAGCAACCCCATCCCGTAAAATTAAGCAACCCTGCTACCGAAACTTCAGGCCTGTAGCTTGAAACCCTATATTTCACTGGGAACGTGAAGCAATAAAAAAGTTGCTTACATTGTACAGCAATGTACTTTTTGGAGTCGAAAACGAATTAACTAATTCATAGACTGAAATAGTATGAAAGGTTCGCGCACCTTTAGTCATTCAAATCTTCGTCTTTAGTGACCGGAAGATTTGGACAAATGACTAATTCAATTTGCAGAATAGCTGAAATTTAGCTCATATTACACCGGGTGAATTAGACAGTGTTTTTAAACTTCAAGTATCGATTCATACTGAAACAAACGCGGTAAAAACAAATTGCCATGAAAAATTATGTGTAAACAGTATATGAAATTCGATTTGCAAATAATTCACAACGCATCATTATGTAATTATTCAAGAAAAGGTATGTATTCATGCAAGTTTCTATTCTGCTCACAGTTTACCTGAAAACTAGTTGTATCTCAACTGAACTATTCACTGAATGTTAAGTAATGATACTTTAATTAATGTCAGTAAAAAGTTCGAGCATTGTGGAATAGATTAAATAAAGTATAATTGTGTTTTAATGGTTCTAAGTGAATAAACTCACTATATTTAAACGCCTAGAACAATTCACTTCTTAACAATCTACTTCCGACCAAAGGAGATGAATAAAATCCCTTCAGCACATCATACAGTTGCATATAAGTTATAAGTAAACATAAGTTGAAAATGCAATTTTAAAAGAACTTCATAAATTAGTACTGTAGTTCTTCATTTCAGTGATTTTCTAACAACTAATAGATGTCTTAAACGAACTGTCGTCAAGATTTGACAGAAAAGTTCTAAAATATTTGGCCGCCAAGTGAGAAGTAGATATTTGTAAAAAATTATATTTGTAAAATCTCAGCGAGATTAAAATGAGTAATTCCAACGTTTCGTTCGGCAATCTGGCCCGAACTTCTTCAGGGAAATTATTCGAAATTAACATAACAGAGGTTTATATATAAAAGGAACATCTCTTGGTTTTAGAAAATTTGTCCAATCATGAGTCATAAAATAAGTATCAACAAGTATAATAAGCAAAATTGTGTGAGCTGTGATCAAAATTTGACCTCGGACTTAAAAATGTTGGTCTACCTTTGTTAAACACTTTAAACAGAGTGTACATGTGTGTGTGTGGGTAAACAGCTGTACAACAATATTATAAGTTTCAAGACCGTATGTGTTACGAACTTCCTGGAATAATTTGAGCGCCGAGTCAGATTGATTCATTATAAATTATCTAAATTAATCCCAGCGTGTTAAGGAAATCAAAACAAGATTTTTCTGAACGTTTCGCTGTGTAAAACATTTCCCAACGTCTCCATAAGAAGATATAGACAGTCGGGATTTTCGACCAGGTATTGTTAATTAGTGATATACAAACATTTGTATTTATTAATCAGGATTTCCTATGCATCATCTAACATCATAACTTCATGTCTGTTCACACTATTAGTATCTAGAATTTTATGATTAGACGTATTTTCAAAATTATGGTGTTTACGATTAGAGTTTAGTTGAAGCATCCCGTAGAACTTATTGATTTGTCTTCTCTATGAATATTGAGCTGCTTTATTCGACCTACTGGAGTTGTCAGGTGACTCGACAGCTACGGATTTAGGAAATGCATTCTGTTGCAGATAACGGCGAGTGAAAACACGACGATTGTACCAATTACATAGTTTCTTTGTTAATTTAATTCAATTGCAAAATTATTCAAATGAAATGTCGTCAAGATATGACAGAATAGTTCTAAAATATTGTTGATACTTGTTTTATAACTCATGATTGGACAAATTTTCTAAAACCAAGAGATGTTCCTTTTATATATAAACCTCTGTTATGTTAATTTCGAATAATTTCCCTGAAGAAGTTCGGGCCAGATTGCCGAACGAAACGTTGGAATTACTCATTTCAATCTCGCTGAGATTTTACAAATATAATTTTTTACAAATATCTAATAGATGTCTCAGTCGCAGATGTACGACGAAATCAACTGCTGACCTCAGAAGCTGAAAAAAACCTTATTCCAGTATCAAGTCAGCGTGAAATTTTATTCAAACCCATATGCCTTCATAACTAGAAGTACACTTATAATAGATTTATTTTCTTTCAATAGCCCATTCCGAAGATGTGGGGAAATTTTATACACTACTGACTCCTGGCTTTTGGATTTCACATATCCTTGTTGTATTTGTGAGTAACGTGAAAAAATCCACCATGAAATCAATAGAGTTTCCATCAATCTAAGAACTACCTTTTACTCAGTGCTTTAAAATACCACAGCTTATGCATAGGATTTTCGATCATTCGACAAAAAGACTAAAGAATTCATGCAAAGCATTCTGACTTGTAAACGAATAAAAAAACTTACCATATTTCTGAGTGTAAATAAAGTTCCATTCCCACTATTATCAGAAGTGATAAACTGAAAGCCTATGTGTATTGTTCGTTGATGAGTTGTATTAATGTAAAAAGTAGAAAAAGGAATTTCTATGGGAGTATTGGCAACATTAACGGAGGGCAGCTTGCACTGTCTGTCCATATATGAATCTGGGCATGAACAACTGAGAAAGATACAGAAAACGAAAATAACACTTGTAATTTGACTTCAAATTGAAGTATGCGCTGAAGATGTCACCCAGTAGGGTGATGAAAGCTTCGCAAATTAACCATCCAGCTCAGACAACAAAACCACATCAAAATTTACCTATTACACTGTTTTAAAGTCCTTCATAAGATGGTTTTCTTAATACTCCTGTCTAAAAACTGTGGCTTAACTAATTTAATGGAGACCATCTTCACTTCAAGGGACTTTTTCGTTAAGCATCAAACCGATATAATGATGAATTTCAAGCAACATCTGGAAAAGAGATAGTAGGCATACAGCTCTTCACTGAAAAAACTGATTAGCTTAATATATATATACGATGAAAATGTAATGGAGGGCTACCAAATTTAAATACTTAGTGACATGCCCCAAATAAATTTAGTAAATTCCTTTAGAGGTTAATAAAATGCAATGGATGGTTTAACTGCGTTTACCTTTTAAACTACAATCTGAAAACTTCACGCTGCATCGGTTACAGTTATTTCAATCCAGACTTTACATCTCAACCTCTGCTGCTATGAATTATCAAACTAAAAATAAGTAATGCAGTTCCTACAACAAAATATCTATTACGGTAAATACATTTTTGGACTGAAAACTGACCCGCAGACTGTGGCAGCTGTTCTCACGACATTATTACAAAAGGTTTGGGAAGATGGAAAGGTACTTACTCACTGGAAGAAAGGCTTGCTACCTTGTCAAGCCAATAAAGAGTGGCGTCTAAATCAGGCATGTGCAAGAACTGTAGTGTAGTAATGTTATTGTCCACGCCAAGTCAAATACTAAGTCGCATCATCCTGGGGAGAGTAAAAGATGCACTGGATGCATAAGTCCGCCCACCGCCCGGAACAAGTGGGATTCAGGAAAGACAAGTCATATGCTGGTCATATTTTAATTCTACGCATCATCATCACAGAAAGAAGCATAGAATGCTAGTCAAATCTCCATCTACCTTAACTTCATCGACTTCGAAAAGGCATTCGACAGACAGCGTTGACCGAGAAGTAATTTGGAAAATACTTCAACACTATGGTGTGCAGTACCGAAGACTTTACCAACCTCATTCAACACACAGCTGTATGACAACGGCACATGTCTGTTGATCTATATCGAATACTCAGCAAGGGGTTCAAAGTGAATACATGAGTAAGGCAAGGCTGCCTGACTGTTAAGATTCATGATGACATTCTTAATTGTGGATTATGTGGAAGACTGTGCGTTGGGAGTGAGAAGACAGAAATACATTGGACTACCGATTATAAGACTTTGGAAGATTTCGCTTGTGTATGATTTATGTTTGTGATTTTATTTCACACGAACTGGATGAAGAGGTTGGCTAGCAGCGAGGACAAGGTGAACACAGAAAAGACGGAGGTGGCGAAGACTACCAGCTACCACAAACAGCAATACCGACAACCAAAACCAATCACTATCGACCGAAGGGTTTCGACAGAGTTCACTTCCTGCCTCCACTTATCCAAGAAGCATCATTTCAACCACAGGCACACGGCATGGATGAAGGTGTAAACAGCAGCCAGCTAGAATCGGAAAGGTGAGATGCGCCTTCATCAACCTGAAACCAGTTTTGAAATCTGCTTTACTCAGCCAACATAAAGAAAAAGATTCGCATTTTCAATACAAATGCCAATGAAGTCAGCCACCTCTTATATACGGGTCAGAAACTTGGCCTGTGTGTCATGAAAAGGATTTCCAACAGGCCACTGCAGACTTTAATCAACAGATGCCACCTTCGTTGGCTGGCTCCATACTGAAGATCAAATGGCCAGCAAACCAGAAAGCAACAAGAAACTCTGCAGTGAAACAAACCAACCAAGATCAGATGGCACAACAAATATGTGGGAGAAAATGGAGATGAATCCGGCATACTTTTCGGAGGCCATCAAAGGGGACATCGGGTGCAATACACAAGCCATTGCCTGGAATCTGAATGAGAAACGACGAGTGGGTCGTAGGTGCGACAGTGACGTGGAGGAGATTGTGTGAGGGGGAGAAAGAAGATTATGGTCATTCGTGGACCCAGTTGAAGAAGATGGCAGAAAATAGAAGAAAGTGGAGATGTGTTGTTGAAGTCCTATGTTCCATTCGGAACCCAAGGAAACACTAATATAGAAAACATAATATAGAAACTTAAAACAATTAGTCCCTTTGATAAATTTGAATAAGGCATTAAGAAGACAAATTTCTACAAATTCACCTGAAGCTGTGGTGACACCTATATAGGTAGAACTAACAGAATGTTCCAATGTCGTCGAAAAGAACATATTCCAAAATGGCTAGTAAATCATATCGAAAATCCTAACGCGATTAATCTTAATAGGAATCCAGCATCATCCATTGCAAAACACTTATTAATGTCTGGTCACAAAATAAATATTAATGACTGTTTCACAATTATTTCACATAACTCTAATTCAAGGTTATTGAAGGTGATGGAAGCACTTTGGATTAATCACATACAGCCTAAACTGTGTGTACAAAAATCAATAGACTTCAATCTTCGCCTACCCTGGACTGCATGACCTATCTTAATATGATTGGTTATTAGTATGTACTTTTGTTTTTATTTGACTGAGTAATTTTCATGAACTTTATTTTATCATTGTTAACCATGTTAGTTGTAAAGCGGTTGTAAAGAAACTACGAAATGATATCATCTCGCGAAATTTGTCTTCCTAATGCCTTATTCAAATAATATAGAAACGTAATTTAAACGATTCATTCTGTCAATAAATGTACATGAAATAGAATAAGAAATCGTATAACTCACCCGTATCTTTCGTTAACTGTGGTGCTTGTTCCAGAATTTAAACAAGGAGGCATATTTTTCGGTGGACTTCCCATTAAACATAAACATTTGGGAATTAATGCTAGTATCATTAAGGCGATGTTGAATAAACATGATAAATGAATTAGCATTTGGCACTTTTGAAATTCGAATTACTATCAAAATAGAAAAGAAACAAGAGGATAATTAAAGTTATTCCAACTGATGTTATCTAAACGTTTGACATGGGTATAACTCTTTAAAAAATTCAAGACCTAATAGAAATAACTTATCGGAATTAAAAAGCTTTTCTTCGAACTGCACGCATACGTCCTCATAACGTCATGGGTGTCAAAAGAATTTTCCTCGAATTGTTTAAAAGAATATTTATGAGAAGCTTAGCATTCCTAATGTCTCTTATACAGCTAGTCCTAAAACATCTGTAAGATTAACTCCTTGTTCTTCAGCAAAATTATATATCATTAGATTCATACTGGATGTCAGTAAGAATTTTTTCCAATTTCTGACAGGGGCATGTTAAGTGGAGTGAAAATTAACAAATGAAGGATAAGCGCTAGGGTAGGTTTTCATATTTTCGAAAAAAAATTATTTTTAAAGCAATAAAACAGGAAATTTAACATGAATTTGTCCTCCGTACACACAATAATTGATGTCATTTGTAACACTGAGTTCCTGAGGCGCAAGCAGTCCGTAAACAGCTGACCAAGTAATAATCCCAGTGCCACCAAATCCTTTTCCTTATACAAATATCTATTAAATTGTAACTGACGGCTAAAAGTGAATTTCAACAGTATTTCTTCCAGACAGGCATCTGGGCAATTACAAGCAAGATTTTATTTTCAACGAAGTCACACAAAATTAGTCTCTGTGAGGTGGAGAAGAGTTGTGTCTACACACATAGTCTGCTTGTCAAACGCATTGATATTGTTCATACATTTCAACATTTGTCACATGGAAATTCGCCGAATCTACTCTAAATGTATTTGCACAGTTCCCGTCGGGATGTGTAAGCACTAACCATCAGGGATTATTGAGAATGATATCTGGGTCAATTATTAACTTTAAAATCACTGGGAAATCTCCTATTCGCCTTTAAGTGAAACTCTTCATTTAATCGTAGAGAAAGGACTGATGTGTTTTGAGTGAAAACAAATGTGGATCTATACTTTAAGACGGTGATGCAGTTAAGATGTAATAAGTTTAGCCTAATCGCCACCTTAGTAACAGTTTTGAATTAATTTAATCTTATAAACGAAGAAGACACTTGACTATAGGCTCATTTATCCCATATCTGCTATATATGGGAATCTCAAAGAAGCAATCAAGCGTTGCTAATTTCTTTTCCATTCACGTTCCCCAGTGGAACATAGGGCTCCAAGCTAGAGGCTTAAATTTTCGGTAGCAGTGTTTATTTTACAGCATGGGGTTGCGAGCCTCATGCCAACCTTTCCTCTTTACCAGCATTATTTCTGGCTTAGCGAGGTAAAGGAGTGAGTCGGCCAGGGATCGAACCCCAGACTATGTGGATGGTCGGCTAGCGTCCTAACCGCTATGCTACCGACATTGCTAATACATAGGTATTATTTGTACTGATTAAACAACTTTCTTATGAAGAATAATTGATTTTCACAGTAACTGGCATGCAGACAGTGTCTGAGCAAGAGCATTTCAGTTTAACGCTTTACATTCAGGTAAGTATCTGAATAAATATAAAAATATCTTAAAAAAACGCCTCACATTTTCTTTTTTCTCCTCCATAACATGCCTTTGTTACGCATTTATTGCACAGTGAAAATTGTTCCATTTACAAGCTATGAGTGCTACCTCACTGCTACTTTAAAAAACGTGAATAGTAAACTTTTACAACGACGACGACTTTCGCAGAAATCATGCTATCATTAAAATGACTAGTATCCTTCATTTTAATTTACTACCTATTTGAAATAAGAAATACTAATAAGGCTGAAATACAAAAAGACTAGCTGTTAAGTTCGCCATGGTGTAAAGTTGCTTAAAAATAAGTATCACATCATCACGATAATGATCATTTTTGGAGTGAACGAATTTCCGGAGAAAGGTATTAAATTTATTTCTCGTGGATATAAATGATATGCTGTACATATTCAGGATTCTTGAGCGAAACTCAGAGTTACTTGAACCGTATCTGTTAGAAGGCAGCTATGACATAGCTATTTTTAACGCTTTGTTTTTTTTTGCGTACTTTAGGAGGCAAAGTTAAACTTTAAGCACCACCAACTATCAATCAGCGAATGACCTTGAACGCACCAGTCACGTGAAGAAGGCATTTTTGTGGATGGAATACATATACTTAAGAAAAAAACTCATAAAAACTGTATTAAAGTGTTACAGAGGATACGTTCGTCTCATAATGTGATAAAAATAGCTCTCAGTTTTAGGTTAGAGTATCAACAGAGTATAATTACATTGTGCGTAAAAAATCTATTTTGGTAACTTTTCTAAACCCAACTCTAACGTGAAAATATCCCTAAATTAACTGTAATCTAATTCAAAGCAACTCTAACATTGCTTTTATTAGGTTAACCTAACCCTAACTTGTCCTTGGCTTAAACCATAACTTAATCTTTTCGAAACCTAAGCTGAAACTTGTCAGATATCTCATTTAATAGCATAACACTTCGATGAGCATATTTTATGGATGACAAAATTGTCTGCTAGGTTTCATTAACCTGCTCAGTGAGCGTTTCAAGGTCACTGGTGCGTTCGCACTCCATTGGTAGTTAGTGGTGCTTAAAGTTTAACTTGGCCCACAATAGATGACGATATCTTATTGTGAATCGTTTCAACATGATCGTATTTATTATCGCATACCTCACTAGCACATATTGTTTTCTTATTATTTTTTCATTTTTGAATAGAAACGACAATGAGAATACCATACGGTACTATGTTATTGAACCAAACGCATATCCGAAAATATCCTACTGACTAGAAATTTATTTTAACGGTTTCTTCCTCCAAGCCAGTTAAAACAAAAAAAACAAGCAAAACAAGTTAAAAATAAATTAACAGAAATAAATACACATTTTCGAATTTCATTCATATCAACTTTCTACATTATGACTAAGACATTTTTAATCAAGCATATATAACGGAAAATAAATGGAATGTCTAATTAAACCTGTTTGATTTCAACCGTCAATTTCTTTTCTTTTTTTTGATGTAGAATGTTGTTGCTATGGGGAATTCTCATTCTCTTGAGAAACAGAAATTTAGTGTACTGGTTACCTTAAAGGAAAAATTCTTTACTTTTAACTGTTTAGTCAAACAGATTGGTCAGATTCAAATACATCGATTAGAGACTAAATATATGTAATCAGTGATAAATGTGTGAATAAAACATGTGGATATAACACTATAAGCATTTAAAACAACTTCATAATGAATGGAAACATAGATAAGCGGTAAAAAGTTCATCTAAACAGAGGATATTTTTTTCTTGTTGGTTAAGCTATCATCAACCCATTCCACCAACTTTGTTACCTCTAAACGTCTGTTTACAGTTATGATTAACTGTATCCCAACAAAACAAAGATTATGCTATTTTAATGTATATGTGAGAATTCATTTAAGAGAATAAGTGTATTAGGTAACAAACTTTGATTATATCTAATATTTCAAAGCAAGACATGAAGGTTCATTAGTTAAATCTTCAGCCTGTTAGTGGTTATGGAGATGGTGGCACAGTGTTTAGGAATCTCGCTGACCATGTGCATGGTCTGAGGTTCGACTCCCTGCCGATGAACACCTGATACCTATGGTCAGCCTGCAAAATTTGGGCTACCGATATCATATGCTAAAAATTCCATACTTGCACCAAAATACGGAGTGGAGTCTAGCGGTAATCGAAAATAAAAAATTAATAAATAAATACTCATTTCAGCGCGATCAAAATATTCTTCTGCGAATTCTTTATTATCTTTGATCTCCCTTTCGTATTCCTTATTCAAAGTACCATGTAATAACAGTGAGGTCAAACACATAGACCAAACCAGTCGACCCAGCTCATTTAATAGAATATAGGAATTTAACTAGGTGTAGAATAATATACCCACCCCCACCAATAAGTTCAATCTACAAAGATACCTAACCACAAGCAGACAACCAGGCAATAGGGTACACTGGATAAAAAATACAAAAAGACGGGACAGATCAAGACAAATGAAAGTTAGTCGTAGAGTCAGCACCAAAAAAATAATAAGAATGGTGCAGTATGAACATTTATAAAATTGTAAGACATACAAACAATGTGGAATAGCACTTTACAAAAAACATTTCTTTAACAGAGGAATTTAACTTATAAGGCACAGATTGATACAATGTTTTTTATTTGGCGGTTAAGTTATGAGCATAATTTATCGCTCACAACCATATCAAAGTGCTCACATAACAACTTCCGGGCTTCCTTTATAGATTTCTATCATAATTTTAACCTCTGATTTTACTAGTGATAGTATTTTCCACAACTCTTGTGGTTACATGATAGAATACTCACCAATCACACACATGGTCCGGGGTTCTATCCTCAACCAACTCACTCTGAAATCTCGCTAAGCCATTAGTAGACCAGATTAAGACGGAATGTTGGGGGTGAGACTAGCAACACCGCTCAATAAGAAAGAATAATGCCATTGCTACTGAAATTTCAAAGCTCGAGCCCCAAGGTTTATGTCTCACCTGGAATCCAAAAGAACGAATAATAATAAAACAACATGCCTGGGAGAGGTGTTGAGTCACTCCTATCCCACATATTAGATGCAGAATCTAAAAAATTAAATGATTAGTCTCTCCCTGCATCAATGTTGTCTTTCAGAAGTGTAATTCAGTCTCGACTTATTGTTTGATTGCAAATGCGTATTTCGCCATTGAGGAGTATTTTTTTTACTGTGCCACAGCGCCAAATCTTATTCTTATGTGCAGGGTAAGTTAACTTGATAGGATTATGAGAAATAAATTTAGCATCATTTCATAATTAATACTACATCTCTGTGTTATTTCTATTAAAATTGTCTAGTATGCAGGCGAACTTTAATTTCCAACTAAGTATTTTGTGTGGTTTAACCTACTTAACTATCTTGCTAGTTTTCCAGTCAGTCCTTACGCACAGGTAAAGATG